CGTCAACTTGTATACAACTTGTATATCTTTACGGCTGGTCTGATCTAAATAACTGACTGGTTAACTTGTCACCATCTGCGTCATTGCACATGTGACCAGGATCAGCTCCAGGTTGATAATCCTAAACTTCCACTTCATCAACAACTCCAAAAGCCCAGCATAATACCAATTCCTTGTTCTAACCCCATAGCCCCTTTAAGCCAGCCTCAGGGTATAACTACTGCATAGTAGGCTTTTGAGTGTGGCAATGGCCAATGTACGGTACAGAGCCAGGGTAAGGTCACTATCCCAATCCCTAAATCATATGCACTTAAGCATGAGCTAAAATTATTTTAAGGGCAGCAATTACCCTCAGGCAGGCGGTTCGAGTCAGTTCGATGACAGCGTGTACCCCGGTAGGAGGACGGCAGTTGTGGAAGAATTGAACACAAGTGATGAAGAAGATGAGGGAGTCGAACAGATTGAACCAACTGAGCCAAAGGCAGAGCAGGATAGCAGCCCCAGCATAGGGATTATCGATATATTACGCTTTATATTCTTGGTTTTTATCATATCATCGGGTTTATCCTACTACATTACCTCGGATTCAATAATATGGGGTTACCAACGGCCGTGGTTTACAAGGCCGCAAGTGTTGCTCCGATACTTTGTGAGTATTGCATACCTGCGAAAGTGCTTTGAAGAAATATACTGATGCGCCCTCCCTTGTCTAGAAAGGTCCTCTCATCCTCTCTCGCTCGGAATTGTCTCTATACAACGGCACAGACCCCAATCTCCCTGTGTATGTCTCTGTAAACTACACCATCTACGATGTCTCTGCAAATCGACGCATGTACGGCCCGGGAGGCGGCTATGGGTTCTTTTCTGGTCGAGACGCAACGCGTGCATTTGTATCCGGTTGTTTCAAAGAAGACCTGACCTCCGACCTGCGCGGGTTAGAGGAGATGTATATGCCTATCGAAGATGTCCCAGACGAGGAATTGACCAATGCCCAAAAGAAAATTCGACGAGAGAAGGAGTTAAGAGATGCACGAGCAAATGTCAGAAGACAGGTTTTACACTGGCAGAACTTCTTTGCTGACAGCCATAAGTACTTTGAAGTCGGCAAGTTGATACGCGATGGGGAAGATGAGAAAGGGGAAAAGAGAGAACTCTGTGCCAGTGCCCAGGGAGCGAGGCCCAAGAGGTCAGAGATGAAGAAAGGGACGGCAGCTAAAAGCCAGCCTACGTATCCGCCGGGCGTGAAGAAGGGGGGAAAGCATTGAATGGCTCCCATCTTCTATATATACCACATCAATGTCAAGACATAGAGTGGCAGGCATTAAACCGAAACATATTGACCTATATCCGATACGATAGTAATTCTGAAGCTGTCAACTTTTGCTTGATTGGCGTGATATCTGAAGCGGTCTTCCTTTTTCTAATTCCGTTTTCATTTTCGGATGGCTGAACATTAAATAACATTAAGCCTCATTCGTACCGTGCAAAGGGTTCCCTTTTTCCCCATTTCGTTCCACCCAATGGAATAGAAAGGGAGCAGGCACTAATGGAAGAGGAAAAAACGAGAAAACATCATAATATTTCTCGTTGTCGCTACATGATGATGATGAACCGTGTCAAGTAAACGTAAGGTGTAACGCCAGGGGAATACAAAAGGAGGACAGAAAGGAAATCCTTATGCGTTTTCTTTACTCGGCGGCAACGGCACGGGCTAGATTGAAGAGAAAGACGTTAGTTTATTCCACCACGAACAGCTTTTAATGTATCCGCATCCACGGCATCTAGCGTGTTGTAGGTTGGGTAGGAGTGTTGACATACTGTAGATGTTCATCTTAGAGTGTCCAACAACCTTCTTGATCTGACCCTTCTCCTCGAGGTCGGCAAGGGCCTTTCGGGCAAGGGAGCCGTTGATCTTTAGTCTGTCGACGAGGGTTGCGACAGTGATCAATCGGTAGGACTGAACATCCTTATAGAGCTTCTCGGAGGTGGTCTTGTCGAGAACGACGGCGTGAACGGCCTTATCCTTGACTGTCCAGAGCATTAGCTATTCGTTCTTTTTCCTGCATTTCACAACTTGTACAGTTGGTATATCGTGACGTTCTTCCGCCGCATCTTCAATTGAACATCGCCAAACAACCCAGTACAAGCGAGCGCGCCTCATATCCGTGCTAGGAATATCTCTTACCCTTTCCCTTCGACCACTTCTTCTTTTGCTTCTTGCCTCCGGCGGATGCTGATGGTGCCTGTACGTCGAACCGTTAGTAACGCTGCCAGAAGGTCGGGGAAAAGTACCGGAGTCACAATAAAAGCTATGCGCCTATGTGCAGGCTCGCCTCACGGTGAACAACACCAGCTATACTGACCATTTTGGATGAACTTGCGGATCGTTGTCGACGGGAAGAATCAGCGACACGAAAGAATCAACTTCAGGCTTTCTTTTCGACGTCGCCAAAAATTTACCAAGTGGGGTATGACTAAGCAGAAAGCCCTAAGCCCTAGTCAACTATAATAACAAGCCCATATGGTGCTGTTTTAACATTAGTCATGCAAAACATGGCCGCTTTAAAAATGTATTATGTAATTATTTATTTTTACTCTATTTTTATTTTATTTTTTTTCTTATTTTTCGGTCTTTGTGAGAGGAAAGTCAACGTCGCTCAGGGGAGGCAGAAGCTCTGCGACATCATCGACGGCGGCCACTTTGTGCAGCTGAGTGGACGAACCGGTGCCAGTGAGATATCCCATCCCGTATCCTCGCTGCCCTCCAACCCAGAAGAGGCCGCCCATCTCCTTGTCTGTCTTGATCCAGCCAACTTCAGCTCGCCCGCGCAGACTGCGGATTATCGCACCGCGAGGACTTCGGCCACAGAGCCACTGGTGGACTGCTATTGTGGTATCATCCCCGCTCATAGTCATTAGGAGATCCGGGATCTCACTGTTCCAACATAATTGCTTGATGTTGGCGCTGTGGACAAGAGCTCCTGACAGAGTTGGCTTGCTGCCCTCAACAGACCACATCCAAGCTATGTTGGGCATGCTTTCGTCAATAGTCACAGCTGCACTGCTTGTGGGATTAAATGATATGTTGGAGACGATGCGGTCTTCTGCTGATAGGCTGTAGGTATATGGAAACACGGGTGATTCTGGAGCCAACATGTAATCCGTGATGTCTGGTATTGTCGACTCCTGTTCAACATACACATCACGTCCAATAGGCTCTGTAGTTGGGTCTCCTAATACAGCTATAAGCACGAACTGTTGATTTTCACCAAAGTAAGCATTATTATTTATTTTATTGCACCATAGAGTGGAAAGACATACCGCTGTCCCACTTATCAGCTCAACAGTGCCATCATGTTTGCCAATGGCCAAAAGCTGAGAATCTGGGCTCCATTCAACAGTTCTGACACCAAAGTCGTGGTCATCGTCACCGGTGCTAGATCCTTCATAACTCCTAGATCGCTGACCATCGGCTGTGTAAATCACTACCATGGTGCCTTGGCTTGCGGTGTCCCACACAGCAATCCAATTGCCATCAGGGCTCCATTTCAGGCCCCTTGCATCCGTAGTAGGAAGATTGACAGCTGTAATAACTTCATGGGATCCAACTTCATGTAATGATAGAATATCTCCTGTATTCCCTTTAGTCAACACCGCGAGGTGTCCGGAGCTTGGGCGAAATGCGTAGGTTGAATGCCCCGCAAACTTTGGGCATTTGATAACCCGCTGATGGCCTGTTGTGAGAGAAAATATCGTCAAATGGGTGTTAAATTCAGGTATAACAATGATCTCGTGGCCCGATTGAGAGAAGCTCACATGGGCCAGCCCTGTAATCTCCCCGGCGTCTATTTTGGCTGACCATGTCTCCTCGTTGGCGTCATAAACAAAAATTTTATTCCCGCCGGCGCACAACACGCGCTGTATGGTAGTATTTTCATCCCTTTGCCCAGGCAAGGATTGCTCTCTGGACTCTCCAGTAGCCCATTGTAGGTGCTTAACAGGCCCTGTCAAGTCTTGCAGGGAGATTGGCCGGATATCCCCATCTCCTTTGAGTGAATGGATTTTTAACTCCTTCTCTCCCGCTATAGCGGCGAATCGACCATCGTCAGACAGAGTAAAAGGCATGTTATGCTTGAAAGTAATAGTTAATTGGGCGGTTAAATAGGATATTTCAGGGAGCTGGAGTTACACCTGGTAGTGGACTTGTTACTGTTTATATCGAAACCCGATTTTGCTTTAGGGGGGAAACTCAAAATATCAGTAATAATAATAACTAACTAATCAACTGACTACCAACACCCGTCTCCCCGAAAAGGCCAAACTCGAAAACATTCACGGCTCTTGCATGAATTGATCAAAAAAAAAAAAAAAAAAAAACCTAGTAGCGTGGCTCCGGAGATAAATTCTATGACCCATGCTGCACAACTAGCCCGTGTTGATAGCGTGCAATATCAGGTTAAATCAATCACTTCAGTGTCATGTACCATACTAGAAGCTCCCTCAGGATTTAAATCTGAAGTCGCCGAGCGTTTTCTCCCACTGACTTCAGAGCGGGAGTGCCCAATATAGTCATCTATCGGGCGATCTTTGATAACAATATCAAGAGCCATTAATGACTTGTATGGGGCGGACCCGAGGAATTCTTCGAGCTCCGTAGGAGAAACAATACTGTTTATATTCTTCACAGCATCAACAGCCCTACTCTTCCACATGGTGGCTGGGTTTTCGAGCTTGGTAATCACCAAGGTATTTGGATTACCCGAGCGGCGAGTTTCGTGACGAATTGTCCGATCTTTGTTAAGAGCCTGGTGTATATGAAACCGACGGCTCGAGTTTATCCGCAGCTCAAGTACTTCTTGCGTATGACTTTCCAAGAATGCATTCAGCTCAGTGCAGTCATTGCATCTGCAGCTTGACGCCGGTGGACGTCTCCAGCTCGCCGCTGCGTTACTTCTCGGACGGACGTATCTTAAAACGTATTCCAAGATCGCCCTTAGAACGAAAGTCGACTCCGCGGATCCCTGTTTATGGCTAGTTCGACCTGGCAACCCTGACACTATACCCCGAAGGAAAGGGACAATTATATGGGGGAAAGCCATTTTAAGCGACTGAGACTGTTTTATGGAACGAATAATGCCAGCATGAAGAATGGACAGGGGTATATCGAAATCAAGACACTGTTCGTAAATACTGATCAAATCTTCACCCTTGAGGGCCGAGGATTTATATTGTATGCTTGTCCGGAGCGGCCCAAAACTATTCAAGGGCTTTGCTTCGAGACCTTGGTCCAGGTTGAGGTCTTTGACTAGATCTTCGAAAGTTCTTCGGTAGAACGCACGGAACTCTTCCATACGGAGATGTCCGTTTATATATGAGGTTCCTAGTTTAGCTAGACATGATGTCGTAATACCACAAGTGCCCACCTGTCGTAGTAAAGCGATTGTACTTAAATGCAAGTTAGAGGAACGTTTGCGATATAAGATTTAAAGGTATGCAGTAAGCTCACTCTTGAAGTTTCTCAATCGTCGGGTATAACGTGAGTATACGGACTATAGAGTCTACTTCATCCCGAGTACCATTTTGTAGTCTTGGTAGAAGCCCGGCAAGTTTTTGCTCCCGCCAACATAGCAAATCAACCCATTCGGCTGGCCTTCTCTCGTCTGGAATGTCAATGCACGCTGAGACAAGATCAGTTGCCACCACGACTTGTTTCGCTGGGTGATCCCGAGCTTGTAGGAAGATATAATTAAGCCTGAGGTTCTCAGCATCAAAAATTTAGTAATCGGGAGGTCGACTCTTTCATGCAAACTTACGCTTTCTTCACAATCTCGTATTCCTGGCCGACCAAGTTCTCTGCAATGCATGGGTAGACCTCTGGAGAAACAAAAGCTGCATGTAGCTTTATCGTTTTTTCGAATAATTCATTATTCCCGATCGTGTAGAGACCCTGGGCTATGATACTAAGGACAGTATCGGAGAATTTATACCTGAAGGTACTGCTTACGCGCCAGCCAGGTCTCGAAATTGCATGTGATTGCTTCCATTTATGCCTCGGAAGCGAAAATAAACATCAAGTCGTTTGGGAACGATAACAACAGCCTTTTTCGTAGTATCAGTATATCAAGTAATATAAGAAATATTAAATGTTTGCCCCAACCCACCGTGTTTCGATAGAAGTGGCACACAGATGTGCCTTCGTTTCCTGTATACCCCGAGTAATCCTCATCCGTAGGGATTCCACGTAGGACATTCATTTGGATATACTCCCAATTCTTAACAGGAATCTCGCCGCATACGGAATTTCCTTGCGAGTCGATTACCTGTTTCATGATGGTGCTATCATCAATAGTATCCTGAATCTCATAATAGCCCTGAGAATTTGTGTAATCATCACATGAGCCTCTAACTTCTCGCTCTACATTTCCTAAGTAAAGGTTGAAGCCTAGTTCCTCACAGGCTGTCTGAAGTTCAGCCATACGGGGGCGGTCTGTGCCTTTCATCGACTGGAAACTCAGGCTAGAGTCTGTGTACATGTGCGAAAGCTTGTACAATAGCAAATACGGGCCTTCATCTTCGGCTCTGGGCTCCCAGAATTTTAATACATTTCTCAATGCACTAGACTCTGAGCTAGGAGCAGACGGTACATTGTCCGTACCTTCGAGAATCAAATTGTAGGTTAGGACCAGACGATGTCCACTGGTGATGGGTTTGATCTCGTGGAAGACATCCGAATACCATGCAGCATATGAGAATCCGGCCATTGATGTGGTGGATGTTTTGAACTGCATGCTCTTGCCCCGATGGTTGAGGACAATTTCACCTCCTTCGTGTTTTGTAGGCAAGCAGACGACCAAAGTAGCAAACATCCCATCTGCTTTTGGAGAGTCCTGATGGGATAGGAAGAATGCGTCCTTTTCGTAGATAAGAAGCTTGTAAGGGTCTGCTCTGATCGAGCCCACCTTATCGGCAACACCCAGCCCCTTGCCGACATCAGCGACAATCTTTTTCATGTAGTTGGCCCATCCGGGAGCCTTGATGTCGAACTCGGTGGTGTTGAGCTCCCAGCATTTCCGCACAGAGGTGTCAACTAGCGTCTCTTCACCCTTTCCGAACGGACTTCTGTGACAGACATCGATAATGGCTTTGGCATCGTCGGGGGACAGAGGCAGCTTCACCACCCGGTCTAGGCCATTGATATGGAGGTTTGGGTCAAGGATCCCATTTAGACCACGGAAACAAGCAAAGTCGCCCTTTGAATCAATTGAGCGTAGTGCTTGATGAATCCTTTTCTTGATACTCGTGACCTCTGGTGTGTCTTCACCGCTGGAATCGTCATCACAATCTTGACCTCTGGGCCACCCGTCGTCACTCATGGCCGCTTGGTTCGTACCACGCCGTCCGTAACTGAATTAGTATAAAGGTTTTTCCGGGCTCCAGGGATCTCGATAGTCAACGAAGAGCTATCTGGTGTTCAATGTCCTTTCGTTCCCCCTCTTGCGATGATGAGATGACCTGAAGCAGCCAAATAACAACTAGTTAGTTAATTTAACTACGACAAAAGCCGCGATCAAACGCGTTTCGGGCAGGAACACGGTCACGTGGAATTAAGTTAACATTTATTAAAGTTAATGTCAGGATTAGTCATCTTTTCTGGCGGGAGCTGACTAAGCGGAACATTTGACACTAGTAAACCTTATGCCTATTTATAATTATAAATTCTTATTGGCTGAAAATGCGGCTCGATCGACCACAGCAAAGCCCAATCGGGTGTCCGCTCATGTCGCTTCCAAATAATGTGCAATATCAACATCGCGAAGCTGAACTATATAAAAGGAGCCGTTTACTCCTGACGGGATGGAATTATATCCAGATGCTCACACATAGTTAGTTGATCAACCCAAGACACTAATTATGACCTCTGGAAAACAAGAGCCTGTCATCGTTGCGTCCTGCAAACAAACTCGGTTCCATCTAGCTGAAGGCAAGGGCTCAGGCGAGGTATAACTATCCATATATATGCAAAATTATAATTTTGATAGTTACTAACTTCAATCTAGATTGATATTCAGGGGCTAGACATACTTATTGCCTCTCGCCTATCTCAGAGTCAGGATGCAGAGTCTTCAGGGGCAGGAAAGGGGAAGGCCCGAAAGAAGGAGAAAGCTGGCCTAGGGATGGAGATTCTCACTGGTGCGAATCTTCGTTTAAAGGCCGGAGTCCATTATGGCCTTGTTGGTCGAAATGGGACGGGGAAGTCAAGTGAGACTAGCCCTTGTATTCTTGTGGGCGGATATAACTAATGGGTATTGACATATGTGAATAGCCCTACTCCGAGCCATGGCCGATAGGCTGATACCCGGGCTGCCTGAGCGTGTCAAGATTGCAATTCTCCAGCAAACTGATGTTGAAGTTGGCGCCGATTCTGATCCGCTATCTTTGGCTGGTAAGGGTACAGCAGCATTACAGGCCAATGATGAATCGTCAAAGAAGGTGCCAAAGACTCTCTTACAGCAAGTTGTGCAAAGTGATACAGCACGGAATGAGATCACAAGGAAAGTAAAGAGTATGTAATTTTCTGTCAACCTTCGATCCTGAGTGAGTGAAGCTGAAGTATCGGTGAAAGTTCTATCACAGGCGCTGGAAGACCATGAGGACCCCCTGGCACCGGTAAAGGCCATTAGACAACTACGCCATGAAGCTTGTCAGCACCAGCTGTTTCTAGCTCAGAAGAATGCAAGTCTGAGGAGCGGCGCTAGGGGGCTACAAGCAAGAAAGGACTTGAAAACAGCGGAAAATAGGCTTGAAGAGTCAGTAGAGCGGTAAGCGGGTGAGTTCCGTACTCAAAAAAAGAGCATGACCACTGATAGCGAATAGCCTCAATGATGACCTTACCACCTTGGATGCCTCTAAAATTGAACAAGAGACCCAGGCAGCGGTTGAGTTACTTGCTGACGTGGAGGCACAGCTTGAAAGTGTAAGTGCCTTAGAACTGACATAAATATACTATGTGCTAAGTGGATATATATTTAGATGAATGTTGTAGACTTGGACCAAGAAGCCCGGAAAGTTCTTCTAGGCCTAGGCTTTAAAGACACTGATTTTGACCGACCGTTCCTCTCTCTATCAGGAGGCTGGCGGATGCGATGTATGCTGGCTGGAGCATTGATCCAAAGTGCAGATATTATGATTTTGGATGAACCGACTAACTTCCTTGATATGCTGGGCGTGATATGGTTGGAGACTTACCTCAGTCGAATGCAGGAGAATTCCGATAAGACCGTGGTAGTGGTTTCTCATGACCGGGCGTTCCTCAATAATATATGTGAGGAGCTTATAATCCTCAGGGACAAGACACTTACCTACTTTAAGGGCAATGTGTCTGCATATGAGCAAGATCGAGAGTCTCAAAAGCTTTACTGGGGGCGTATGAAGGAGGCTCAGGAACGACAGACAACGCATATTGAGAATACGATCAAGAACAACATGAAGATAGGCAAGAAGACAGGAGACGATAATAAGCTGCGAATGGCCAAATCCAGACAGAAGAAGTTGGACGATCGAATGGGGGTACAGGTAAGCGCAACAGGAGGCAGATTCAAGCTGAGCCGTGACCGTGTTGGATGGCATGACTCTATGCGAGCTGAGATTGAGGTCCCGGCGGACGAGAAGGGGGTATCAATCGACCTTCCAGAGGCGCCCGACCTGAGGTTCCCGGGACCGCTGCTCTCACTTGAAGGTGTGACATTTCAGTATAAACACAGCGGCCCTGTTGTGCTCAAGTCCATTGATCTGGTCATGCACATGGGCGACCGCGTAGGTATCTTGGGTCTCAACGGATGTGGCAAGTCGACGTTATTGAAAATTCTAGTGGGAACCAACGAGCCAACACAGGGGAAGCTATCTCGACACCCTCGACTGAAGCTGGGATACTACTCCCAACACTCGGTCGAGGAGCTTCAGGAGCTCGGCAGATCGTCGCCAACGGAGACGGGACTGAGCCTACTTTGCAGGGAGACAGAAGGCGTGCTTGATGAAGGAGAAGTCAGAGGCATGCTCAGTTCGCTGGGATTACCTGGACGGACGGCGTCAGACGTCCCCGTCTGCCAGCTGTCGGGTGGACAGCTGGTTCGGCTTGCCCTTGCCCGAATCCTTTGGCCGATGCCACATATCTTGGTGCTCGACGAGATCACTACGCATCTTGATTTCCACACCGTCCTGGCCCTGGCTGCAGCTCTCTCGTCATATAACGGAGCTCTGCTGCTAGTCTCCCACGATCGATACCTTGTTCGGAAGGTGATCGAAGGCAAGGAGAACCTAGAGGGTGATGATGACGGCAGCGGTGGAATGGCAGAGCATGAAGCCAAGGGCCGCGGAGCAACAGCTGTGGATGAATCCCAACGCCGAGACGTCGTTGTGCTCAAGGCTGGCAAGCTGCAGCTGCAAGAGGATGGAGTTGACCAGTTCGAGGCCAACCTGCAGAAACGAGTCCGGAAGATGATTGCTTAGCCTAGCTCCAACGGATATTCGCACATGCGGAGCACACAGTGCGGACAACAAACCGGGCCGCGAATAATACTTAGGTTGGATCTGGAGATGATGAATATGGGGAATGGGTTTCCCCGGGAATTTGATCTCGTCTCGAATTGCATCTGGATCTGTGTCTGGTGATAATATCCGCTGAAAGGGCGGAAACTAGGCTATTTTGGCCTGATCTCACGGTCTTCTCTCGCCGAAAGAGACGCCTGGAAGATGGTTATGAAGACCAAGCCCATATTTTTGAGTTGACAGGGCGCCCGTATTTTTGTTAGAGAATTACAAAGACGGCTGTCTCTGCAAGTCTCTGCAATGTTCTGCTGTCCCCGAGGCCTCCACCGACCTGTTTTGATATATGGAGTTCGCGATGGAGAATTATGGAGAAGCCGAAAGATGTATGGAGAGAAGAATCGTTACTGGGTCCTAGTCTCGGCCGGTGACATATTATTAGAGTATCAGAATATCAATGTAGTTTGTCTCTCCGGTGCATTGCAGCGCAGTGTATGTTGTAGTTCGTAGATACCAACTTTTATGTCGAAGTCGCTTTCAACACAAGAACGTCCAACCTCATCCAACATCACGATCACGACTCAGATCCCAGCACCCTCAATAATGCTTCGGCAGGACATCCGCTGCTTCTGGAAAATGCTAGTTTGGCTTGTGACCCTTGGAAAAAACCCATAGGACGAAGAATATCCCGCTAGCAAGAGACATGGGACCGATCAGTGGAGAGCTCAGCGTCGTAATAATGGATCATCGCAGCACAACGCCGAAGACAAGCCGCCCAGTGACAGAAGAGGAAAATGGTGATTATCAATCAGCGTGAAAGTGACTCCGGCAAAAGCAAAGACGAGAGACTTCAGGACGAAAAACCGGCGATTGGCTTGATATGGCGGTTATCCGGAGGATAAACCTTCGTGCGGCTCGTAACGACGGGTTGAACCATGGCTCTGAGCGCCCTTGCAGACGGTCTGTACGACACAGAAAGGCTTGAAGGCCGGAAAGTCGACAGTTTGAAATGCAGACAGGATAGACAGATGGGATAACTACAGATATTTGAATTCGGGCCAAAAGGGGGGTCCTTGATGCTGGCCGCCTCAGCAGCATAGTTTCTATAATTATATCGAGCTGCCACAGCACCGCCAACCACCACGCTCTTCACCAGCTTGTGACAACCAGCAAAAATTCCTATCCACAAGAAGATACTAGGGGTCCTGGCGTGAGAATGCTGAGACGCCACCGGTGCCAGCGCAAAGCTCCACTAGACGAGATTTGAGGGTTAGATTTCCGGCGCCCTTGAGGAGCCTTCGACTTCCCCGGCCCCGAGACATCGTCACCAACTCCAAGGGGCAGACAGAGATGAGAATAGGATCACTAGCACTCGGATGGTTATTAATTGACGAGCGAGAACTTGCTTCGACACTTTCGTCAGGGAGTTACATCCTGCTGGCCAATTAGCTGCGACGGGCGACGGGAAATATCAGCGAAAAAGGGCACTGGAGGACCCCATGTCGGCACAACTGGGGAGACATTGGGGCCTCCAGACCCCGGTCCAGGGAAGGGATTGGAACGCTGGCCATTGGTCGGCAATATCAAGCTTGCTATCGGACCCCGGTTTAGACGCCCCCGCGCTCCCAGAGGTCCTTCAGTTGTGTGTCATATACGTACGGAGTCGTCGTAAAAAAATTGATAAAAGGGCTGGCATCCCTCCCCTGCGGCCCAACCTGGATCTCGGAGAATAGAAGAGCTACCATCTAACTACCTTCGATCCAAGGGACTCTGGTGTGTGTCCATGGCCGTTAAGGTCTGATAACTTCTCTTACGGTAGCCGAGCCCCTGGAAGGGAGAACACAGCAGGACCATGGCGGGAGACCAGTACGAGTTGAACGGGGCTGACGATGGCAAATTTGGCATCTCAGAGCATGCAAATAGCATATCTCTCGAGGATGAGCCGCGAAAGAACTCAGTCGCAAGTTTTCGAACTCGCTTTATCGACAGCTTCAGACGAGATCCCAATGCATACTTTTCGCGGCCGGCGAACGCGGACAGCCATTTCGATGCAGAGCAGGCTGCAGCCGCGACGGCAGCTTCGCCTCTGCGGCGAGCGCTGAAGTCTAGACATCTTCAAATGATCGCTATAGGAGGATCTATCGGTGAGCTGCGTCCTTGTTTTCCTCGCTTTTGCGATGTTTGTCGTTATCTAATATGGCTTGCTGTAGGAACCGGACTGTTCGTCGGCTCTGGCAAGGCGCTGGCCACTGGAGGGCCCGCATCAGTTGTGATATCTTTCTGTCTCGTTGGCATAATGCTCTACGCTACTATACACGCCCTTGGTGAACTCGCCGTCTGTTTCCCCGTCGCCGGATCCTTCTCACACTACTCTACTCGTTTCATCGATCCAGCCTGGGGTTTCGCTATGGGATGGAACTACGCTATCATGTGGCTGACCCTTCTACCGCTTGAGATCGTCTCTGCCGCGATTACAGTTGGATATTGGAAGTCTAATGTCTCTCCTGCGGCCTGGGTCGCCATATTCTACACCCTCATTGTATGCATCAACATGTTTGGGGTCAGAGGGTACGGCGAGGCAGAGTTTATCTTCTCTATAATAAAGGTCGTTGCGATCATAGGGTTCATGTATGCATCCCAATCTCGTTGATCCCGCGACTAAAGAATTAAGGGGCATCATACTAACGAATCCTTTTTAGTATCCTTGGAATCACTATCAACTGCGGCGGTGGTCCAAACGGAGAGTACATTGGAGGTAAATTCTGGAGGGATCCCGGTGCGTTCAACAACGGATTCAAAGGCCTCTGCAGTGTCTTTGTTACAGCCGCCTTCACCTTTGGCGGAGGAGAGCTTGTCGGTCTGGCTGCAGCAGAGACCAGCAACCCTCGAAAGTCCATCCCAACCGCTGTCAAGCAGGTTTTCTGGCGTATCGTCTTGTTTTACATGGTCTCCATGACCGTTGTTGGCCTGCTGGTGCCATACACTGATCAGAGACTACTGAACGGATCAGGGAGTGCCGACATCAAGGCTTCTCCCTTTGTGATTGCTATACAGGATGCCGGCATCATCGGCCTTGACTCTGTTATGAACGTCGTCATCATGATCTCCGTTTTATCTGTTGGAAATGCTGCCATCTACGGCTCTTCTCGAACACTGGCTGCACTGGCAGAGCAACGCCAGGCTCCTCGATTCCTGTCATATATCGACCGCAAAGGCCGGCCGCTAATCGCTATTGCCGCTGCCTCAACCTGTGGACTGTTTGGATTCCTGGCTGCTTCAGACAAGCAACAAGACGCCTTTACCTGGATGTTGGCTATCTCGGGTCTTTCCTCGGTATTCACCTGGGGATCTATCTGTCTAGCGCACATCCGGTTCCGTCAAGGCCTTAAGGCACAAGGCCAGAGTGTCGACGACCTTCCCTTCCAGGCCCAGGGAGGCGTGATTGGTTCCTGCATCGGTTTCGCAATCAACTGCATTGTTCTCATTGCCCAATTCTGGACAGGCTTCGCACCTATCGGCTACGCTGAGCTATCAGCCGCAGGGCGTGTCAAGAACTGGTTCTCAACCTACCTGGCTGCCCCAGTTGTGATCGCTTTTTACATCACGTATAAGCTATGGCATCGCACATCCTTTGTTCGAGCAAAGGATATGGACCTAGTCACCGGGCGCCGTGATCTTAACCTGGCTCATCTGATAGCAGAAGAACGGGCTGAAAGATTGTCCTGGCCAACATGGAAGAGAGTGTATAAGTTTTTCTGTTGATCTACTTTATTTTAACGAACCTCTCCCTCACTCGATGTAACATGTATAAAACAAAAGAAGCGAAAGAGCAACAAATGAAATGATACCCTGTTGCTTGTACATAATAGCTTAATCTGATTCTTTACCATCAGCCTCTATAGGGCCTGATGACGGCAGTGAATGCCCAGAGTGACTACTTGATACCTACTTCTTCGCCCTGACCAAGTGTGAATACTCATAGTTAATCACCCTGGAGAAATAGCGTGCCTGACCCGATGCTTAGCTATAAATATGCCACCATTTTCACGACATCCGGCACTCTGATCTGTTTGATCAACATTTCCTCAGTGCTTTGCAGGCTCCAGCATCGTGGCGGGGTACAAGCTTACCCTGAAGGTATGTAACTACCCCTGGTATTGTGAAGAAGGTGGTTGAGGTGCTGACCTACATATAAGCGCTATAGGGGAAGCAAAGCCCCCTTAACCTACAAGATTGCCGATGCATGTCTCACTGTTACTCCGAAAAGTCATTACAGGTGGCGAAGAAGGGTTCTCCAGCCCATGCGGCTGCTGGTGGAAATTTTGTCAATGCAATCAAAGCTAGTGGCCAAGTCTCTCGAGACGCTGTTGCAGCTTATAGCCCTGACCAAAGACACTTTTTTCGCCTCCCATTCAGTCAGTAGCTGAACCAGAAACTTTCTCTTCTCGCTGTCCTTCATCTGGTCCCTCGCGCGAGTTAGTTTCCTATGGCTGCCTCAGCAAGATATCAAACCGCGGAGCCAAAAAGGGGAAGCCCCAAATTGGTTGTGGAGAGAATCGCTATATCATTGACACAAGACTCTCCACCTGTTACCATTGCTGAATATAATAACTTTTTGAGAGAGGCAATGTGGAGGATAACTCCAAGGCTCTTCCATATGCATCAAGCCGAAACGCATGCCTCTGTATCTTGATTTGAACAAGGCATAACAATGTCATATACCGACCTTTCCACCCGAGCCGCAAGAACATAACCGCAAGCAGACACTTAGACGGTTGAATACTCCCATAGTGAATGAATGGCAAGAACATGTACTTGTCGTTTGCGCCATCGTGGATGCTAGGTCGGGCGCTGTCAGTGCCATTTGCCTGTTGCGGCCGTGCACTTTAGGAGGAACTAGGGGAACTTGTGGCGAATGTCGTCGCATGGGAGGTCGGTGTGAGCCGGTGAGTTGAGATTCTGAA